TTAGCTAATGATAACATTAAATATTTGCGATTCCCACACCTGTGATGAGGGCAGGTGAGAGATTTGACAACATTTGTTATGAAATAACATAGATTCCCAGTTTATCAAGAAAATGTGTAGGATCTCTTTAATAGCTTTTAACAGCTGAACAATATTGAAACGAGAAATGTTAACCCAAGCAAATGACAATTATAAGAATGCCCTCATAATAAAAGTTTAAAAAACAACAGTACTGCTAAGAAAACCGAAGTCCAACAAAGAGTATTATTTTGTTAAAAGTAGAGCATTATAGTAACGCCAATGTAAAACTCAAACTGTGATAGGTTCTTTGATAAACCCATTATTATTTTTTTGATATTATGAAAAACATTAAATCAACCCCACAAAAAGTTAATTACATATTTGTCAGTAAAAGAACATGTGTAGAGACAGAAGTAGAGCCTGCTGGTTTTTCGATAGTTCATTCAGTCTGTTATGTGAAATAATTCCCTTTGTTGTATTGTCGAAAGCAAATCAATTTCCAAATATTTCCCTGGCTTAAGAGCATGGGAAACGGTCATGTTGCATGTTGTTAGGAGTTTAGCTGTTTCCCAGACTATTAAATAAACTGAGGCTCCCCATCCAGGAAATACAAAAAGTTGGAATTTGTTATCAATAACAGCAAAGAAGACCATGTGATAGGTGAAGTGTTCCTTTGAAATGCATGTCCGCAGAGTATCAAAGTACACCTTCCCAGACCAACAACAGTCATAAACAGAGAGGTGAGAAGTAGCGGTTCTGTTTTATGGGGGGTCCCGGGTTCAGTCCCCACCCCTAGGGTATAGGGTCATGACCCCTGGCATCTCTGGTTGCAAGGTGTGAAGGATGAAGAGATAAGTTGATGGTGGTGCTCTTTGTGCGATTGTTTGGATGATGGGATTATCACAACTTGACAGAATCTGTTTGTGTTTCAGATAGTTCAAATGACATTTTTGTTTTCTGTTTTGACACAAAACAATAGATTTTAGGGATTAGAAGATGAAAAAGAATTAAAATTACAAGGGTCGTAAAGAAGAAGAATTGCTGGGAAGGAAAGTGTTAAGTGGTCATTTTGTCGGTGATGATTTGGCCTGTGTAGGGTTTAAATGCTTTACAAAAGGATTAAATGAATTGAATTAAATCTGACTGACTTTTCTTTTGAACATTGTTAGGTAAAGAATATATTCTGTGGTAGTTAATCATCCATATTGTCAATAAAAGTGACAAAACCCTTTCCACGTTCAAGAAATGCAGAGTTGATTGTACGATTCCAACAATATCATAAGCATGTTTATGAATCACCTTCAAATGATGATCATACAAGGTGTTTGAGAAAAGGGAGCGTATCACCCATCACAGACTAACATTTAGTCTCTGAAATCTTATATAACACAATATCCTTCTTGACTCTAAAATTATAAAAAAAATCCCCTATGCTGATGATATGCTGAGAATAGAGCTAGCTTGAGCTGGCTAGACTTGCTTTTGTATGCATTTCTAGATATATATTTTTCATAAAATAAATATATTCCACAGTCATGGTGCAGGACTACACCCATCACAACACGTGCAAAAGCAAATCAATTCAGTTCATCCACTATTTTTTAGAGACATCAATTGTTCCAATCCAAGGGACGTTACTCTAGATGACACTTTTATCCCCAAATTCAATTATTTTTTTGTGACTGTATATCCAGAGCTGCAACATTTCAAGATATAGATAACATTAACTGTATGAACCCTGAAACTGTATCCAGGGATGCGTTGTAGACAAGTCTTCGCATGAAATACACACCCCCAGGTCCAAGATGGCAATGTCAGCTATCCATTGTACGTATGTCAGCATGTCGACTAGTCAGCGTGTAGATGTTTATCTATGTCCTTATCAAGATATATAATGAGGGCTATCCTCCTTTGCCTACCTAACTTTAGCCTGATCTGTGTTAGTGTTAAAGAGGTTGTACATAGCATGGGAATAGACATCAATCTTTGTACATTTCAGAGATAGCATTGACATGATGCATGACCACCAAACAGTTAGAATGGGTACTTGTCATGCGGAATGTTAGGCCCTGTTGAGACAGTATTTGACTTCAGCCATAAATTTTCATTTTGTACAGGTAGACATATTTCACCTTTCGTCTTTACTTCTTCCTAACGTATTGGTTATCGAACAATTTTTCTGTTCAAAGTGCTATTTTCACCTGTATATTCTGGTTTTAAAAATAGGAATTTGTTTGTGATTTTGTTTGTGCTGCATGCAGTATGACGTTTGTACCAGCTGTTGTTATGGACATGCAGTGAGGTGACAGCTACTTGTCAATCTCAGGTGTTGCATTATTAATGTAGGAATATGTACATATACAACGAGCTGGATACATTTCACTACAGCTGAGTCATATCCATGGGAAGAAGGGTCTTGATTTGAAATCACATGTCATCATGATCATGAGACAAAATCTGAACCATTTTTCCAGTCCTTATTGGGGGCATGGGTGGCCCAGTCTTCTAAAGCTCTGCGATTCGCTGTGCAGAGTTGCGTCCCTTGGGCACACCAGAAACCTATGATGGTGGGTTCGAATTCTGGTTCGCCCCGATTATATTTCTAGGTTTGTCAGCACCATACCTGTGCTCATGAATTTCACCAAAGTGGTAAACGTCTGAGACCTGCATCACTTCGGTCTTTCCTCACACATTAAGCTGACATGCCATGATATAACTGGAATACTGTTGAAAGTGGCGTTAAACCCACCTCACTCTCTCTAGTCCTTATTTGTTATCCATTTATTTCAACTATTTGCTTTATCTATCTCAAGGCAACTACAGTTGATCACCCTTAATAGACAGAAAAGAACATATGTATTTTCATGACTGTTTCAAAGTCCTCCCAATTTGATTTGGTACCAAGCAAATCTTCTTGTCACAACATATATTTTCTGTTAGAAGTTGGTAAAAAACAGTATGGATGACAACAATATAGAATAGTTGTCGTCCACAAACTATCTTGTCTTTTTCTGTTAAATGTTTTATCATGAAGATCTACAGTGACCCTAGGCTTTGTTCCACATAAAACACACATGTATATGTCATGAACTAACAAAACACAAACCCCAAAACACACAACCACTCCCTCCCTTAGTCCCCCCCCCCCCCCCCCCCCCCCCCCACCTATTGCAAGTTTCCAAATTTCTCAAAATTGAAAATAAGCAACCCTTATGACCCCCAGGATGCCTCACCTTTTGGACACACCCTGTATGGCAATCACACGAAATGGCCTTCTGGGTGCATATGCGAAATACATATAGTGTCAGAAAGCTCACATTAAATCTCCATTAGAAAGTAATGTCATGTATTTTATGGTCATTGCAATGAGTGGCACCAAGTATATATCAAACTAACTATACCTGTCAATCAAAACTGACTGCAAAATGTACATACATTTTACCATCAATTTCATCTTCCACATGACTAATAAACAGCTGACACATTCATTCATAAGTCTACATATTTTGTTGTTTATTTCAAAATCCCCCGTAATGACTGACACAGGTTTATAGACAACATTATCCAGTCATTCAAGTACACACATGTTATCGTCTATTTCAATATCCTCTGTAATGAGCGACACTAGTTTACAGACTACACACTCTCTGTCATGCTATTGACAATATGACAGGCATGTTTATTACCCAGAGTTTGATAACAGGTGATTTGAGACAATCAGCCTCCCCTCATTATCTTGTCTCCGGTCATTTAGGGTCAGCGGCTGGAATTTGTGTCTCAATCTTTATGTGATGCATGTCAAGAAAAGAGCCGTGATGAAGTATTTACGATGATGCTACTACATATTTATCCCTCCTCCACGTGTTCCGCTCCACGTACACACTGACCTAGGACGCAGATAGATCCCTCTATCAGTGTAAACTGAAAATACACCATCCGATCCTGGTACAGTAAACACACATGTTGTGTAAAGTGTATTAATTTTGTATTGCAGATGTATGTCACAATATGTTGGGGATAAAATACATGACAAATTAAAATTTGCTATTATTACTTATATTAAGTATTAATTGTTCGTTTCCCTTAATATATTTTGTTGATCCTATTTTTTAAACTCCATAAAGATACTTAAAAAATATACAAACAAGCAAAATAAATAAGAGGCAAAACAGATATCGGGAAAATAATGATAAGGACAAATGAAGATAAGAATATGGATTTTGCAACTCCAGAACTTGAATTTTTAATCAAACAGGAAAAGGTACACAATTATGTATTCTATTATTATTGAAATGCATTAATCATGCAGATTAGCAGCATTTCAAACTCAGAAGCCATCCAATCATTGACTATTTACAAAATCCCCCTCCGTCCCCAGCCCCAGGCTTGCTGCCATACTTAATCTGATTGGCTAGATTATCCCTATTATCTTTATACAAGCCAAGTAAGTACCCAACAAAGGTGACACCTAGACTTCTTTGAAAGTCTTAACGAGCAGGCTCCATGGACAGGTATGGTGTTCTAATTAACCTTTGTTTACACAGACAAACAGTGAGCTGTGGTCAAGACTGGCTTACATACTTAATGATCTGTGAAGTGTTAAATAAACAAAGTATACAGTTAAAACAACAGTAAACACCATGCCATGCTTCCCACATTTAAGGAGGCCAGTTTTGTCAGCACAACCATTTAAGATCTTAGGTCCACTGGAGTAAGAAGAAGGATATTTTGTGTGTGTTTTGTAATTTTGAATTTATTTTCAAATATATTTATCAAGATGAGGGAACTTGCAAGAAACTTATTTGTTTCTGCTCTGCATACAAGCATAGAGGTAGGTATCAATTGCACGTTGTTTTGTTTATTGCATTTGTACCATGATCAACTGGTTATCTTATGCTTTGGATAAACTCAAAAAAGTGCCAAAGATTTAAAAAATATTCAATTCACATCTCTTATATCTGTTTTCCTTTATTCTCCAGTCTTCAAGAAGCCAGCCTGCCATTGGTCTAAAACAGACACCAAAGTCAAGGGTAAGTTGTTTTTTTATCATTTCATTTATATTTTTAAAACCCACACCTAGTCATATGATTGATGTTTTAAGTTGAAAATTCAATGTTTAATCAATTTCGAAACCAGACACATTTCTAACACGTTGCTAAGACACACATGTACTTGAACATCTTTAGGTGCAAAGGCCTTATCTCACTGAAACACACATGGAATTTTAACATGTATTGACAGGTCTATTTTAGCACTCATCCTTTGGTAAGAGTGCATTTTAAACGATTCACAACAAAAAGTCTGTAAGCACAGCGTAGGAAAGCTTATGGTAAAGTTGCAAGTAAATACATTTGAGCCCCACCTCCCTGTGGTGGTCCTGTTTCTGTCCCCATGCTGCTGGCAGATTTCGACACCATGTTAAAAATAGCTTAATCTTAATCTATCCTAAATCCTTCAAGATTATATTTCCTGTAATTTTTGTTTGAAATAAGGTTACTTGGTGAATTCTATTTAGAGGCAGTCGCAATTTAAATGCTTAATCCCATCTTGACTGAGGTTTTCAGATAATGAATAAAATGCAACAATTCAGATTTGGTATTAGAAGCTCCACCTTGAAAAGTGACATGTAGAGATGTTTATTGCATACATCAAACGCAATTATATAGTTCTGTGCAAACAATATGAAATGTACAGACAGTGAGTCTAGCATGGACACAATAATGAAATATTCAGTAAATAAACATGACAGCCCTAAGTGTAAATTTAATGTCATATCTATCAAAGCTTCTCCGTGACATTGAAGCTTGTGTTTACATATCCCGGTTGCAAAGTGATGTGTCTCTCCAAAGTGATTTGTCTCTCTCTCGTTGGGGGAATGTAGATATCTGCAGACAAAGAGGGAAAAATATTTGCTGTATGCACTCTCACACTTTTTGTCCCTTTTCAGTAGACATTTTCTTAAACGTGCATAATTGTTTAGAAGAAGTCCTATTGTTCTTCAGCATGTAATCTATTTTTAAGTGCTGAAATGTATGTTCATCTGTTTCCCCAGTAGAATGACAAGAGTTATAATCGCATCTACATCTAAATCTATTTTCTAAATGCATGTCTTAAAGGTTATCCGTTTCAATGACTAAGCTGTCGTCACGCCAGTAGCATGTTCATCTCACTTTGTTCATCTCGACAACCCCTTAGCCTTGATATGTAGCTTTAACCTTACAGTGCTTCTTTAATGTAAACCATCCCCCACGATGTCTGCACATGCATATGTGTTTGAAATCGACCACATGTATGGTAAACAACAAACATACCGCTACATATCGCTTTCTCTCTAAGCTTTGATTTCGCTGTTCATATCTTGAACATTGAAACCAGATAACAAGTTTCAGAACTTCTGAAGGAGAAAAATATTCACCCAATGTAATCGACTTGGTGGCTGTTTGACGAAAGATGTTTTGGGGATTGAATATGTGTAAACAATGGGTGTTTGGTTTTAATAAACATCTGTGTTGTTCCATGTAGGATTTTAGATCAAAGACAACAGTAACCTTGATACATGAAGGAAAACATGATTGACACTTATGGTGCGAAGAATGCCTTCTACCTCCAGCAGGGTCGGTTTATGAACTGTTCTTTTGTTCATTTTTGATGGAATAAATTCCTTCATATATCCCCCTTTCTATAAACATATAAAACGTCAATGCTAGAGAATAATCACTCTATGAAGCACATCCCATTTGGTGTATAAATAGGTTCAGTTAAAGCATTTTCTTCTTCATGTTTATGGCATAAATTCCTGCATTTGTCCCCTTGAAATTATAAAACATCAATGCTAGAGAATAATCACACTATGAAGTATGTTCCATTTGGTGTATAGATAGAGGTAATAATTATGTGTAAATTGGTTATGACACCAAGTGTTCATTAATGTACGTATTCATAGCTGCAATTCTTTCTTCACCTACCCCTTAATTTTTCATTTTTTCATTTCTTTCTTTATTTAATCCTTCATTTATGTCGAAATCTTTCACTTTATCCTTCATAACATTTGCCCAATGTTTTTTCTAAATACATTCTTGACTTTCCATTTCTTTTTATTCCCTATTCTTCATTCCATGAAACAATCCATCTGTTATTTGCTCTTTCATTCCCTCTTAACCCTGGAACCATCACCCCAACGCAATTATATCAACACCAGTAACATCATTGACTTCCATCATACACTGCTGCATATTGATTACCGGGTAGTATCATATAACTCATCACCATACACTTGACCGTGACCCTATCAGCTGATAATACATCCCCTCTCCCCAATTACACATCCCAGGCTCCAACCTGACCCCACCGACCCGGCCTCACCCCAGGGACAGGGGAGGGGCTGGACTTAACAAGGAGGCCACCCTGGGATGTAATTAAACAGACAGGGTTGGAATATGACCCGAGGCAATGCTAATGCTGAACCTTAATTGCTGCTGCTGTTTTTGTTAGGGTACTTCTCTCTGGGTTACCTTCTGACATCTGTTTGAATTGTCTTGCTGTCATGGCTTCAGGAAATGAAATCAAACTTGTTTACCTTACTGGCAAATCATTTAGTGACTGAGGCTTTCCACTACAGATTTTATTTGACTCAATATATGACCGAGATCCTACAAATAAATACCTGTTTATCCCAACGCAGATGTGAATACATTGTATTTCAAAAGTTCTGGATTAATTGATCAGGCATGTTAAAATGTCCGTTGTGTGTAAGTATGCATTTGTAGCAATAATGGGCTGCGAAGCAGGGTCTCGGGACTAACAGGGTCCAGATTAACTAGTGTTGACTATAACTCAAAGAAGACACATGTTTAGGATAAACATCTTTTTTTTTACTGTAAAGATCTATATCGAAACCTCTTCTTTACAGTAAAATGAAGTTATCCATAAATTGTTTTTACTTTGTCATCCGTCAACTTGTAAGTGATGCCTATCAAACAAGACTATATCTCAGCCATAAAAGTACCATATTCTTTAAATTTTCCATGCTTAAATAATGTATAATGTTTTTCAATGTAAATGTCACAATCAAAGAAAAACTAAATGATATTACATGTTTCTCCTATTCAAACTTCTTCACATCACTTTTCCCTTTTCCATCTCCTCCAAAGTGTCCCTCTTCCCCCCCTTCTGCAACCCTCACCACAACAGGGGTAAGACAACAGTGCTACTCACTTGCACCATAAATAAGATAGCGCCAATGACCAAATTGCATCGGTCACTAGCTGTGGCCCCACTTTCAGGAATGATAGCACCACGATCAACCTTTGATCTTCCCCTGCTCGTCACACTGAAGCTGGTATCAGAGGAATTCTCTCCATCATGTTTCCTCAAGCTTATCTTACTTAATACTATCTCTATCTCATCTTAGCACTCGCCTCTCTTCACATCCATTTGTAACACAATATTGCTTGCATTCCCCCCTTATCAAGCCTTTAGAGAGTTTGATTTTACTTTGTACATTCCATTCCATTCTTCAAAACACATCTAAATGATGACATTAATTATTTTACCGTTACCTTTGTGTGATGACTTATTCCCTGATGCTTTCACATCATTATAGGAATTCATTTTATTATTTAAAAGATCAGGCTTATCTACAACATATAGGTTGATTAAATTAAAACCAGGTTGTCGGCTAATGATTTCAACATGCATAACAGTCATTTGAAATGCCCTAGATTCTTAAATTCCTTTGAAATACTCAGCAATCTGTTATATATTTACAGTGGTAATCCTTGAGAGTTTTTCTGACTTTGATGTTTCCGTATAGTTAATTGTCTTACATCATATATAACACCCACATTTTAGTTTACACCCTCATTCTGGGGGGACCTACTTGGCACCTATCTGTGAACCCTGTGTCTTTGATGTCTATATCCCTATTATGACACCTCAACTATATGACCTTGTTAATAGCACTGGGACAGTGTCTATTCATCAGTCTTACATTGCCCACTATATCCTGAACATGGTATGTATTTCATGTCTATATCACAAGTGTTGAAATGTCCACAAACTCTGAGCTGTTCATTTCAATCACCTGTGTATGTCACTCCTGTTTCAAGATTCAAAATGTTATTTCACACTCACCAAGATTTATATACTTAAAAGTGAAAACTACAATCCAGCGTCATGTATGAACATTGGGATTCATTTCAGGGCGTATATTTGAGAGCGATTTCTTCAGAAAATAAGAGCGCTCCCCAAAACAAATAAATTATTTTCTTTTCATTACAATTTCTTATATAAATCAGACAAATTTACTTATGTGAACATGTAAAAAGAATGTAAATTTGTTCCGCCCAACATGTTGATATGTTTATATGCATGTTTTTCTTGTTTACCCCTGACCTCGCCCACATCGACTGGGAATTTAATTAGTGTTTCCATGGTGATGAATCAAATTAATCACTCAATTTGGGGGAATTCACCAAAATCCATATTTGTCGCTTCCTTTATCAAAAGGATATCATCAAATAATTCCATCTTGGTCATTAGCGCATAAAATTTTGTAATTGCTGTTTCCTGATCGTTTTTAAGTAGCTTAATGTCAGAGGAAAGAGTGGCCCAAATTTCGCTAAAATCAGGAATGATGGAATTGGTTTGTGCCATTCCTATAGAGACTCCGAGTGAATGAGTTTGGATCCTATAACAGAAGAAATTATCGATTGATGATGAAAATGTGACTCATTCAAGATGACCGTGTTAGCAAGGGGTGAATCACATTGGGCCGAAACCGTATTGCAATAAAATGTGACTCGGACACTTGTTTGTTTACAACGACTCTTGCCTTATTTAAGATGGTGCTAGATCCCCACTGACTATTTTAGTACCAGGAATGGTTTCTGTGGTGTCGTTTTCAAGTCAGGATTTTATGGACAAGAAAGAATTCACATGTGTGAAGATGAACGAGTGCTTTTCATGGACTAAGTGCCTATCCGTGTTTTCCTGTTTCCCATTCAACAAGAAGGTATTCACGTTTTCTGCCTTGATTCCATATTGCATGTAATATTTATGCTTTGATTATTATCCAATATCGGCATCTTTGATATCAAAATATTATGGCATTTCTATTGATCGTGTTCTGTTATTCACCATTTCATTCAAATCGATCATTTTCATATTCTGTGGAATCGGAACCAAGCCATACCTGTTATTATTTCTGTTTTTTTCAACAAGTTGTATTCAAACCAAGTGGTAAACACTTTTTTTAAACCATGAGTCAGACCTGTACTTCACACCAATAATCTAATTGTTCAGGCCCTCTGTAATCTTGTAATTAAAGATTTATGACGATTTAGTTCATGACTCATTCTCTAAAGGCTTTTCTCTCTTTGAAGAAAGTCCATTACACATCTGAAAAATGCATTGTTTAAGATGCTGTACAATTGAATTCATACAAATTGTTTGAATAAAATTGAATTCAGCAACCAAAAACATCAGATAGAATACACAGGGAATCTTGAACTAATTATATTTAAACTTAAATATCAACAGTGACTTGTTGTGTGGCAGCCATCGGGTAATCGGATGTTTATACCACGTGTCTAAGCACTGTTTACTATATAACTGACCCTCACTCTACTTCAGGGTAAAATGACACCACTTGCAACATCAAGTCCCAGGACCAACCCACTACGGGCTCTGAGATCTTAGTGTTAACTCAATGCCCAAAAAATACTTTTATCAGGAAACTAATTGAAAAGTATTTTAAATTCAGATCTCTGGTGCCAGTGCTGTTACATTGCTTCTATTCACAGCATATATTTCTGTATAGTTGATGAGACATGTAATCCAGACTCTTATGATAAATTTCAATGACAATAATAATGTCCTTTTGTGTATCACTTCTAAACAATAATCAGTATGGATAAAACATCCACCCAATATTCTAAATTTTAACAAACAATAATTGTCAAATTTCCAATATTTTAAAGTATTCGTGTGAATTGTGACTATGTGAATAGTAGTACAAGGATAACCTAGTGATTACTAGTGTCCAGACATTGGGACCAGACACCTTGTCAATATACACTGCCAGACATTGTTATGACAGCCTTGACAGCTGATGTCACTCGTCAATATACACATCAGTAGGGGTGCTAGATCCCACACAATGACTTGGCTGACAGCCATATCTGAAGGTGTCTTGGTAATTAACTGACCAATGTGGTATAATCTTAGGGTGACATTAGAAGAAATCAATTTCAGGTTATGATTTATTCATTTTACAAGCATCATATTTTTGTGAGTTCTTTTGAAAAGCATCAACTATAAAAGTAATAAAAAATATAAGAGTTACATTTCCTTAACATGCTTAATGCAATTAAAAAAATTGTCGTTCTTTTCCCTGGGAACATGGTGATTAATTTTCAAAACTATGTCAAGTACAATTGCTGCCTCTCATGAAATTCAGCTTGAAATCCTAGAATATTGTGACATTTTTATAAAGCACAGTCATCCACCCACACAGTAAACCTTAATTACACACACTGCCCATACACACTGAAAGCAGACTGCAAGAAAGTCATTGGGACAAGGCCTCCTGCCCAGGTAGGACAATGGGGGTTTGATTTGTGGGGCAGTCTTGGCCTAGCGCCCCCGTCCCCCCTCCCCTTTTCATAGAAGCAGTCACTTGACACCCAGCCCATACATTCCTCCACCCTGCTAGCAGGGCTGTTCCCACCCATAAATGTGAGTACCTGTTGAGTATAATGGTGACTAAGTTATGCAGAGTTTAACAGTGGTACTATTTACTTACTTAGTTTGGGTTTTAACCTGTGCCTTCATTTGATACCTGATTTATAAGGTGATGAATGGGGATTGAAGCTGGTTCTGGATCTCATTTCTGTTTCAGTGTTTTTGTCAGTTTAGGTAATGTAGATTTTATAAATATGAATTATTAATATCTGTTATTATCATTACATTGTTTGTAATATTTCATGAAACCCTTGTGGTATTTGCAGTTTTAACTGTAGTTTAGGAATCATTCTGGGTCATTGTGTTCATCCCTTATTTCATTCATTGATGTTTGAGCATGATGGCTTACAGACAAGATTGTTAATACCATTAGTCCCACCTTCAGTTCATCAATCCCTCCCTGATTCAGTGTATTGTCTAACACATCTTCAAGCCCACCCCAGTTCCTACTTTAATCCTTGCTTCCGGGTTATTCCTCCTCTCTGCTTCAAAGCCTACCCGACTTTGATACCGAATCCCATCCAACACTGGCCCCTCCTCAACCCCCCATCAAACACCTGACCATACCCCAGCCAAATCCCCTCCAACAATAACCCCTTGTCCACCTAGCCTCCCCTTGTAACCCACATCCAAGCCAACAAACCCATACTCTTACAAAGAAACTTCCCTAGCCTTGCTGCAAGGCTGTACTGAATGGTAAGTCCTTTGGTGTATGGTAATTCTATCATTACAATAGGCAAGTCTAGATACGCGACAGTCACCAGTCTCTTAAAGGGACAACATGTTCATTTTATATATATAATCTAGAAATCATGATAACTAATAACTTTTGCCTTGGAGACTTGTGCAAGTCTAATATGTCCTCAGCCTTCCAAATCCCTTCTCCAAAGCCAGTTGTGTGGCACCAGCCCCCTCCTTCCTCCCTCCCTCCCTCCAAGCTGTAGAGCTCATTGATATTGGTGGCAGGAATAGACTCAGTACTAGCAGTGGGAGTGCACAGGGCCGTAGCTTAAACATGAAGCACTATCCTCCATCACTGGATGCTGGGAATATCTCTCATACCTATCACTGTCTGCTTGCACTGACACTCCCGTACTAAGATTCCATTCACACTTCACAACTCGAGGCCTCTGCCAAAAGTCAAACTTGTTTCCTAACCATGGACTAAGTGATGGATCCGGATACCAGTGCTAACTTAACCGAGGTCAGCCCCGAGCTTCGAGACATAAACGGAGGGACTTAGAATCCAAGACAGGAGTGGGCTTATCGTTGACTTCTAACATTGACCGGTGTGATCTGTTTCAACAGGAAGCTTGTGTTTTTGTGTACTTTCAGCCGACCATCTTCGGTACGATCGCACAAGACAAGGCTCCGACTGAGGATCGACGGAGGGTAAGTCAATGTTTTAGTTTTTCTCACCCCTGGGTTGAAAGAATAAAACTGAGAAACACACTCGGTGTCCAGTCCAGTTTTTGTCACTATCACAAGAGCTGGTGTTGATAACACTTGTACCGTGACAGGGCGGTGACAGCTATTGACAACTCTGAGTAGCCACAGACAGGTTCTTGACAAGCTAGACATTGGTTATATATTCCAAGACTGTTGGTCATTTCATAGCCATCCCAGGATTCACTGTGTCCATTCTTGGATTTTTTTTCAGGTAAGGTTGTGTATAGCATTTATAATCATGTCTATACCGTTGTATTATTTTTCAAATTTTACTTATCATAAATCATACCAATTATTGGTTATGTATCGATAATCAAGGCTGTTTGTTATGATTAGAATCTTGAAGGTAATGTGAGTGGATACAATTCAGTCTATTTCTGTCCCATGTGCAGTCATCGTAAATAAGTTATCTCAAATTTCTTTGTTGAAATCAACATCCAAATACCATGCCGGAGCTACTGTTAAAATGACATAAACATTCAGAACGGTCATCCCTCATAGTGTTTTGAAATTCGTTTACCTGCTGTGCAGTTGGCAATGGATGAAACACAATCTTCCAGACAGAAAGGGGAATGGGTTTAACATGCCACAAAGTCATCAGTTTGACTCTTCCGTTTGTCTGATGATGTTGCTGATAGCCCTAATGAAAACATCTGCTTGGTCATCAAATCTGAAGACAGAGAGATCTTTGAAGATAATCTATCCTCATAGTACAAATGTCTGGAATTCTTTTCATGGTGGGGAGTGGTCAGTTGATGGTTAAAGTTATTAGACAGCCAATCTGAAATGTCAAGACTGTTTTACAGAAATGCAAACTGTATTTATCTAATTTGACGCCAGAGGGTTGAAATTCAAAATTTAAATTTTTTATGAAACACATTGAAATTTGAATGTTTTGATATAGAAGCCTAGGGATTGTATATGTATATATTTTACATATTTATAAATTCAGACTTACAGTAAACTATGGTTATAACAAACTCAAAGGGACCACTAATTTTAGTTCGTTATGACCACAGTTTATCATAAGCATATTTTCAGCACCTATACAGCAAATGGCTGGGACCAAAAAATAAGTTCATTGTATTTGTCAGTTTGTTATGAGCGTGTTTGTTATAAAAGTAGTTAACTGTACTTTGAATGACAATATCTGACATTACATGAACACTGAACCAGTGAAAGTATTGTTTGGAATAATTCAACCAGTAACCAGTTCCAGCTGCCCGAGAGGGGTCTAAATATTGCATGTGTAACTGATGGAACAAACAGTGCATGGTTGCTGTGACAGGGGGAGACTAAGGCATGTAATGGTCCATGTAGCTGTGCAGATGGGCATATTCCACATCTGTTGAGGAAGTCACTAAAAGGCACGGAACACTTGTGCGTAGTGTAATTGCCCTGTGGAAGGCTCTTAAACCTCCAAACTTAAAAAAGTATTTTTTCAAGATTTAAAACTTCCTGACGGGTAGAGGGGTGATGAAATGTGTTTTAAAGAATAGAATGCCATCTGTTTGGAAATGTCAGAAATTCTGTTTTATTAATTATGGATAGTGAGCGTTGACATGTTTTTTTAATGTAAGCATGCATTAATTATCATGGCTTATTCAGTTATTTCTATAAATATTCTGCCAGACGTAGTGATATAATAATACCTCAGTCTATCGCAACACAATCTAAAGCAGATTTGGAAGAATCCATTTTGGGAAGAACTAATTGACAATTGTTTTGTTTGTTGTTTAACGCTGCACTCGGCAATATTCCAGCTATATGACAGTGGTCTGTAAATAATCAAGTCTGGACCAGACAATCCAGTGATTGACATCATGAGCATCGATCCCCACAAATTGGATACAATAACATACATCATGAGTCAGACCACCCGTTAATCAATCACAAGCATGGTTCAAGATGTCTATGGGTTGGGTAGGTGAATGTTGAATGTATCAATAAGATGGCGGGTTTGATTCAAAACCACTTCTAAATGCCTTCATTGTTGATGTATATCAGCAACATCTTCTATAACAGGGGTCATGTTTTCAGTGCCACAAAACTTGATCCTTGCTGCAAGTGTTACATGAGATTTCAGATTTCTTTCAAATATTTACATTTGTTGATAACCCATGTCTGGTTCAGTGGTAAAGTGTATAACTAAGAAAACATATAAATAGTCTCAATCTTTGTAAATAAACATAATGGTTGCTAATCTTTCACCAAATTGACACACAGAGGCGCCAAGGTTCCCGCAATGGCGCCATGATTCTCCTTATGACTGTAGAATTTAAGGAAATTCACATGGCATAATGATTGCAAGAACTGTGTGCTTGTAGATATCAGATCTATCGTGATTTCACAAGGTTCTGTTGAATTCTATATAATGAATTTCATTTTGAACCAGATGGTCCTGGATTTCACTCCCTCTTCAATACGAATGATCATAAGTGGTTGTTTCCTGAGTATGAAGTGGTGAAGATTCACACGTCTCATTGTCACCATTAGAAATGTTGGCCATTGAATACTGCTGCAACATTTACGGATTCAAAAATGAATCTAATCAGTGACAAAATATTTCAACAAGCATGGTCACAATATTTGAAGAATTTGAATTTAGAGAATTTCTTTCTAGCTTTTTGTTTTCAATTTTAATCAAATTTTTAAATATTTTACAAGATGTCCATTGCAACTTCGGCTGTCACTATAAAGAGTAATTTTATCGGAGAGAGAAACCGTCCAAGTCAGTATAAGGGCCAACTGTTCTCAAGACAGCAATCTTGGCTGCAATTACCGTGTCCGCGATGTTGAGTAGCTTCACAAGCCTTCCTTTGTTTTGTCCGACAGATTACATTTGTAGCGCTGTCGTCAAATGGATGTGAATGAGGAAAGGACATACAAGATGTGATTACCAACTGGGTCTTGGTCTGCTTTTCACATTAGTAAAACAATTTTTACAGCGTTTTCCCTATTTCATCCAAATTTGATTGCTGTTTATTCTCATGAAGTTTTTCGCCTTTTGAATCTATCCAGACCTCCCACAATTTCGTTGTGAAGAAACACAAACGATTCTTTCATCCTGTCTTTTCAAAGTGTCTCTCACACCTCTAATGGTTAAGTTTTAAGTCAAAATTCAAAATTTGCGGATAAAAGTTTTCAAGGAGATTTAGAATTATCCAACTGCTCAAGCATCTAACATCGCTTCAATCAATGATACGTATTTCAGTCTTAACTGCGGCAGCACAATTCGTCTCCTCGTCTCTAAATTGGATTAGGACAAAATGGTGTCATCGATCCTGATATCCAGCCTGGGTCCTCCAGTGTTAAGAAAAGTAACAAGCTAAGCCCACAAGGAGGGGATACAAGCTTGGCATTAAGTCTAATCTGTCCCAGCTATGTCATTGTATGATAAACTGCATCTCTGTAGTCTTCATCCCTGATAGCGGTCTGTAACATGATGCAATCTCAAGGATGAAGCTAGAGATTTGATGATGTCTCATCCACTTAGTATGATTACACTCTACCAAGTCATCAGTAAACATTCAACTCAGATACTATTTTATTAATTTTTATTTTTTGTCTCAACTTAAAGAAATTTTTCCTTTAGTGTAAATGGAAACTTGCCAAATCATTCTAGACTTGAGTTGGATTCCTTTTTTAGTTTATTCTCTAGCAGTCTGTGAGACTCCATCGTCTACTGTAGCCGACATTTTATAATGTTATCATCCAACTTAATGTATCTTTAATATTATGTATATGCAGCTTTTACAAGGCTTTCGATATACCAATATATTTATATACTGAACCTCATGTTTATTCCATATACAGAACAAACCAGATGTATAAATAATGCATGTTCCGTTTGAATGAGAAATAAATGTCCCAAGCAGGAATTTCTATATTGTATGACATTCCATACACATGTTACATGTTATAATTGCAACTTGTCGATGACATGACTGTCTGGTTAATATACAGGGTTATATCAGAGTAGAATGAACAAGATTCGCAATTAACTGATGAATACATCAATTGTGAATATACATACCAAATATCAATGTTAATGTTACATGATAGATAATGATGTTTCAGTAAATGTTAATTATGGAATAAACATAATGATTGTCATGTTGTGTAGGACAGCAGATGCTGATGGCAAATATAGGTCTGTATTTCATTCTCTCATATGTACATTTCAAGTAGGAACTTCTTTATCAAGCTCAGATCAGTTTGGAATGACATACGTTTATGTGAAACTGTAAAATGACCATACATAAGATGACGTATATGACATTATATCTCAAGCATTTAACATAGGCACTTTTCTATCAAGCTTAGATCAGTTTGGAATGACGTACATTTCAGCATCTGGTGATTAGTTTGTAAGTGTCACAGGGCCTGTGTGATGCTGATTGCAGCTTGAAACAAAGTCAAAGTCACGGCCATTGTTCCGGGTCGGAAACTTATAATAAATAATAACCCCACCCCTCAAAAACATTTTTTTTAAATGAAAGAATACTTCAAAGTATCAAGTTTTACAGCTCTTCATGAATATACCAATTATTTCCGAGATTTATGACTTTACACGTGATTCCACCGAAATACATAAAATATCAGTGTCTAAGAGCTGCGAGTGTTTGTTCCTGGTTGGAAACTTGAAAAAAAATAAATAACCCCACCCCTCAAAAAAATAAAAATAAAAATGAAAGAATACTTCAAAGTATCAAGTTTTACAGCTCTTCATGAATATACCAATTATTTCCGAGATTTATGACTTTTGACGTGATTCCAGCGAAATACATAAAATATCAGTGTCTAAGAGCTGCGAGGGTTTGTTGAAGATAGGCACAGCCTCCCAGTTGGTGTTTCAACACTCTCCTGAATTGATAGGCCCAACTGAAGGTGTTTGTGTGGCCCTACTCCAATTATCCAGCGAATCCCTTTGCTATTGATTT